GACAAATTGCATTTCAACATTCTCTTACATATTTACAAATTTGATGTCATATGTTTGTTGTGAGTATTTGTTATTGAGGGTAATGAAATATGAACAAATTATTTATATAACTTATACATGTTATTAAATGGATGAATGCATATGATATTACGGGGTCTAAGTACAGAGAAAAGAAATAAATATCAAATAACATATAAAATTATATGAAATTTATACGCAAAAATTATCTCAAAATTATTTTTCTTGTTATTAATAATTAGTCAAATTAGAAGGTACACCTTAGAATTGAATTTAGACTTGAACATATTAGTTTACAATCGTATACTTTTTTTTTTTTTTTTATAAGGGCAATGGTTAGTAGGTTAATATTGTTAGATGTTAACAACTGAGGATTTGATCTCCAGATTTGGTGAACAGTCCACCAACCTCAACGAGGCACGTGGCCATCAAGCCGCTTGGTGGAGTTCACAATCGTATACTCCTAATAAGCTTTGATTCCCATTTTCTAAAGGCAAAGGGATCCTTGTAATATAAAATTGGTTAATTTTTTAATTAAATCATGCATCTGTGTATTTTAAGCATATTCGGCACTTCTATTTTGTTTTTCCCTTGTAACCAAGCACACTTAATAATACTTCCTTTTTTTTTATTTTTTATGGGACGCAAGTAATTCATTATTATTGCTTATAACGTTGCAATTACAACTAAATTTGGAAGTGAAAGAACGCAGTCATTGAGTACGTGGTAACACAACCACATCAACAAATGAATTTCTTAAGCAAAGGGTGGATTTCGAGAAATAGGTAGCTCGATAAACATAAAGACAATCAAATGTAATCTTACCTTTATTAACAAAATAGAAGACAGAGCGAAGAAAAATAAAAGTAGGCCCGAACGCCACAGAAGAATGACCATATTTGAAGCCAACAAAGTTGATGATACTATAAGGAGTAGTACCCTAGCAACACCCAAATCAAACCTCCAGGAAAACATCGACCGCTCGTTGCCAGGAGGAGGGACTACACCTTTCCACTGACAGGACAATAATCATGGGAGAGCAAAGAATGGTAAATTGTAATCCAAGGGCTTTACGTGGTTCTAGTTAGTGTAAAAAATTAGCATGTAAAAATTTAGCATGTGAGTTTAATTTAACACAAGAATTACATTCAATATAAGATTAATTGACAATAGATAAAGTATCATTTTTTATATTTAATTTACATGCTTTTTTATTATTTTATTAATGTAAAATTTTATCACTTAATACACCCTCTTGACGTGTAAGATTGATATTATTTTTGAGTTATGTTATGTGGATATCAAGAAAAGGCCCTCTTTACATGCAAGTTTGATTGGCCACATGAATATAGTATAAGGCTAGCAAATGAGCTTAAAATACTATCCCCTCATGCAGGTTTGAATTGTCACAAGATCTCAAACTTGTAACTTTGTAAGGAATGAAGTCTAGATTCTAATACTATATTAAAATTTAAAATATGTGTTTTAATATAAAACTTGCATATAATTTAAAATCAATCAATAGGCAACATAGCTTTTCTTATATTTAACCAATTAAATTGTAACATTGACTAACGTTATAATTTAATTGATTAAAAAAATTATTATTGTCTTCATTTTTTTTAAACTAAACACACTTTTTAAAGACATTTTCTCTAATTGGTGGGTCCTATTGATATTCTTGTCACTACGTCTCAAATCAATTAGCAGTGCTATTCACGCACAGGAGGTTTTTTAAGAAAGCTCGAGATCGAAAATTTTCAAATTAGAAGTTAGGGATGTTACTGTCTTATTTTAAAAAAGGTTAAAAATTAACGGGAGAATTTAATCAAAATTAAAGGGTTAAAATCAATGAAAGTCCTTGTACTTGAAATTGTTGTTGATTATCATCCTTCTACTTTCTTTCTTTTTGCATTAGCATCCTTCTATTCCATATTTTATATTTACTTTTGTCCTTCAACATATTTTGTTATGTCCTTAAACATTAGTTCACTGTTAAAGGCTAACTGATGTTATTTAATATTATTTTAATTTAATTTATTTTTCTGTTTCTCCTTCTTATTGGGAAGCACAATGAAAAACGATTTCTAAATTAATTAACTCCCTTGTGGAGTTAAAAAAAAAAAAAAATCAAATATCTACATTGTCATTCCCATTCAATATATATCATGTTTTCAATGAAATATTCATGTTTCCGTAAAATATATATATATATATATATATATATATTATGAGATATTATTAGAGGATCTATATATCATTATGCAACATGAGTTCTTTCACACTTTTTTTAACATCTTTTATGTGATTGACCATGTGACAAATCTTTTTATATTATATATTAACGTGATAAGTAATTAAGTTATTTAAAATTTCAAATCACTTATACGTAAACTAATAATAGAAAAATATAAATTATGTTGTCATATAAATTAAAGAGTCTATTAAAATAATAACGCAAAAGAGATTATTACTAAAACATGAACCATACATGGGAATCTGTATGGTTTGCAACTGTTTGGATCATTTGGAATACCAAAAATGATATAATCTTCAATAACAGGTCAATTGAAATTGAAAGAATTGTTGATTCTATTCAGATGAAGACTTATTAATGGTTATGAATCTTCGAAATCTCCGGGTCTAGATGGATTTAATTTCAAGTTTGTGAAGGTTATGTGGGAAGACATTAAAGCAGATATTGGTGGGTTTGTATAGGAGTTTCACAAACATGGTAGACTAGTTAGAGGGTCGAATGCATTGTTCATTGTCCTAATCCCAAAGGTAGACAACCCCCGAAGAATTGAAGAGTACAGACCCATTTCATTAATAGGGGTCATGTACAATATAATTGCAAAGCTATTAGCTAATCGGCTTTGTAAAGTTCTACCGAAGATTATTGGGGAGCAGCAAATGGCATTCATCGGAGGCAGACAGTTGGTAGATGGAGTTGTAGTGGCAAATGAGGTAGTTGATGAGGCAAAGAGGAAGAAGAAGAAGAGCTTCCTTCTCAAAGTCGATTTCGAGAAAGCATACAATAAAGTATGTTGGGAATTTATAGATTATATGATGATGAGAATGGGATTCAATGTTACTTGGAGGAAATGGATACAGGAGTGTCTACAATCGAGTCAGGTATCAGTCCTAGTCAATGGGAGCCCAACAAAGCAATTCCATGTCAGCAAAGGCATATGACAAGGTGACCCACTATCCCCATTTTTATTCTTGATTGTGGCAGAAGGGCTTAATGGGTTAGTGTCTTCTGTAGTGGGTAAAGAGCTATATAAGGGAGTGATGGTAGGACACGGTGCTGTTTCAGTTTCTCACCTACAATTTGCAGATGATACCATATTTTTTGGTGAGGCATTGGAAGATAACATCAGGGCGGTTAAATGTATTATGAGGATTTTCGAGCTTGTCTTAGGGCTCAAAATCAACTTCGGGAAGAGCCAGCTAATGGGAGTTGGAGTTGAGGAGGAGTGGAGAGAGAAAATGGCTATTAGATTATGCTGTAAAGTGGGCGATTTCCCATTTAAATACTTGGGGATCCTTATTGGAGGAAACCATAGAAGGCTAACAATGTGGCAACCATTGGTGGAATCTTTTAAAAGGAAGTTAGCAAGTTGGAAAGGTCGGCATCTCTCTTTTGGCGGTCAAATTACGCTCATCAATTCAGTGTTGTCTAGTCTACTTGTCTTCTGGATGTCCGTTTACCTAATCCCGAAAGGTATACTTATTTCTATTGATAAAATTCACAGAAATTTTCTATGGGGAGGGGAGGGAGAAAAGAAAAAAATTAATTGGGTAAGCTGGGATAAAGTGTGCAAACAAAAAGAGAATGGAGGGCTGGGAGTGAGGAACTTGAGAAAGTTTAATTTAGCGTTGATGGGGAAATGGTGGGGACGCTTAGCATCAAGTAAAGAGGGATTGTGGAGAGAAGTTATGGAAGGAAAATACGGGAAGGAAGGGGATCATTGGTTCAATTGGGTAAGAGAGGGTAGAGGAGTAGGCTCACTATGGTGGAGGGATGTGTGTGCTCTCAACACAGTGAATCGAGTTAGAGTAGGGTGGTTGGCAGAGGGATTTAGGATAAAATTGGGGGAAGGGATTAATGTGAGTTTTTGGTGGGATAGGTGGTGTGGGGAGGAGTGTCTTGCTAATAAATTTTCGATATTGTATCTCTTATCAATACGAAAAGAGAAGGAATGCAACCAAATGGGCGATACGAATGATGGAATATGGAAATGGGACCTTGCATGGAGAAGAGCTTTGTTCGAACGGGAAGATGATGCTGTTAAGGAACTATACAATACAATAAAGACATAAGGCTCTCACCAGGCAAACCCGACAAGTGGGTGTGGGTACATAGCAAGGATGGCCAATACTCAACCAAATCAGCTTACTCATTGTTGATAAAGGAGCAGAGTGGAGTAGAGGGAGGTTCAACCTTCAAGAGAGTCTGGAACCTTCAAAAGAGTCTGGAATCCCATACTTTCGAACAAAATAGTAGCGTTTAATTGGCAGCTAATGTTAGATAGAATCCCAACCAAACTTAACTTGCAAAAGAGAGGGATCACCAACGACTTGGGAAGAAGCAAGTGTGTTATGTGTCAAGATGAGGAGGAGGATTCTAACCACTTATTCTTAAAATGCAGGATAGTAAAACGGTTGTGGAAAGCATGTGCTAAATGGTGGGGGATCGATGTATCTTTGGGCACTAGTTTCTGGAATACGTTTGAGCAATTAGGGGAAGGGAGCAAAGACTCACGCATAAAGGAAGGATGGGACTGCATTTGGAATGTGGTGGTTTGGTCGGTATGGCTAGCAAGAAACCAGAAGATATTTCATCAAAAAGAGTAAAAAAAGAAAAGTTGCTGGAACTCATACAACTGAGAGCTTTTTTATGGATTAAAGTAAGAAAGGTAAGATGCACATTTAACCTTTCAGATTGGCTTATTAATCCAATTGCATGCCTTACACTTAACTGCGGGAGGAGAAAAAAAAAAGGAGGGGGGGCATAACAAATTAGGTGGAAAGAAGGGACATTATCTAACTGGATGGTTCTTGACTTTTGATTATTATGTAAAATGGATTAGAGTACCCGTTGTACTCAAATTATCAATGAAATAATGTTTTTCCGTTCAAAAAAAAAAAAGAAATAGAGCAAAGGAATGGAAATTTGCAATGTCTGATTGGATTCTAAACCCAAAGGAATGTGTGAACAGTAGTTGAGTAGTTTGAAGTTACTTGATACTTGCAAGTGTTTAATGTTTTTCGGGTCTCTTTTGTGTGTGAGGTCAATACTTTGTAAACAGGTTTGGGTACCCCCTTGTACTCAATAAATAAACATAATATTTTGCTCTTCAAAAAAAAGAAAAATACATAGACAGAAAATTATAATTTTTTATCATACAATACTGCAGCGTTTAAAGAATCTTTAAGTACTTGGGTTGTTGTTTTTGTTGGGTGTTAGTGCTATATTTTTGGGGTTTAGCAGATATAATAGCATTGAACACCCTTTTTGTACTCTCAAATAATAAAACTTTCCTCACTGATTAAAAAAACTTTGGATCAATATTCCTTAACTAATTTTATCTCTCGCTGTTCAAAAAAAAAAAACTAATTTTATCTCTCACTCGTAGCTCAATTAATGTGATTCTACATCTCACACTATTTGTCAATATCTACAAATATAATTCAACCTAATTATTCTTAGCTATACATATATACATAGCCCGGAGGAAAGCACACTTTACTGATCATCAGTTCAGTGATCCAATTCCAAGCAGGAGATCATATCACTCGGCTATATACAATTTATAATCGGCCGAAGACACTCTAATTGAATTAAAGGAAATGTTCCCAAAAGTTAAAGAAAACAGCTAGCATCAGTAACTGTTTTTTTTTTTTTTTCCTCTTTTTTTTTCCTTGATAGTTCAGAAAACTCGTATTTAGTTAATCCGATGGCATAAAATTGCATGCTATTTTCTTGCTTTAATGGTACTTTTCATGATCTAGCTAGCTGAATTTAGCCTTCTAATTACCTAGAGAAATAAAACAAGGCCTCCCCCTCCAAACTCTCTTGTTCAGTACAAAAGATTGTCCATTGGAGAGGAAGAAGAGAAAGGTGCAAAGAAATATATTTCTAACTTAATTTCCTTCACTTAATTATATACTGAATGTTATATATTTGCATGCACGTCTAGAGCCAAAACGTTTGTACCCAGCAATATCTCCTGCCTTATAATACCAAAGATGAAATTATAGATAATTAAGAAGTGGGATCGAAGAGATCTTAATTAGAAGAGAGATAATTAACAATAAATTAGAAACAAGAAAAAGAAAATGGATTAAACCGTATTTCCATAAACAACATAAATAAAAATATGGAGCAGTGCTGACCTAGTGCTCGCATATTCATAGAGTTTGCCGGTGCTGGAGAAGATCATCAATCCAACTTCTGCATCGCAAAGGATTGCCAGCTCCCTCGCTTTCTTCAGCAATCCGTTTCTCCTCTTCGAAAAAGTTACTTGTCGGTTAGTTGAATTATCAATCCTCCGGATCTCAATCTTTCCTCTCCCCATCCTGTTCCGAAACAAAAATGGTTAATTTCACCGCTCTCAATTTCTCCTAGATTGGAAGATTACAAGCAAAGATGAGCTCGGAAAACTCACCAAATCTAGAAGATTCGAATATTGACTATGGATGGGATAAGAACAATTCAGAAAAATAATTTAAATACAAATATTGAAGATAATGATATTAGGAGATGGGTTGGACTCTTGAGAGGGATAGAAAAAAAAAATAGCAGACTGACGATGTTCATGCTCTATAAGGATAGCTGAAAGCGGTTTTCTAAGCAAAAAAAAAAACCTCGAATTAAGGACAAAACATGGAGCCAAAAACCGCTTTCGCGGTTTCACTGTTCCAATACCCTAGGAAATGGTTCACTAGTGCTGCTCTCTAGGGTACATAAAATAATTTTATTACTATTAAGAAAATAAAAAATATTTTTGCTATTCATATTATATTAAATTATAAAATATTAATATTTAAATAATAAAAGGTTTGAATCAAACCCTTAATGATTTTTTTTTTTTTGACAAGGGTAATGGTTAGGAAATTAGTATGAGTTAGATGTTAGTAATTGGAATTCCCAGAATGATGAACATTCCACCCCCTCAAATGAGGGGCGTAACCATTAGACCGCAAGTTGGTGGAGTTCATGGCGTTGGCAGAACTCGAAACCTTGACTTCTGCCTCACAGAAACCCTAAAACTTGGGAGTGAACCATTGGGCCTCAGGTCCGGTTTGCAAACCCTTAATGATTTATCTCCAAATTTTAGCGTTTGAATTGAGTTGGTCAGAGTTATACCGTCACTGATTACTTGAAAAATTCTCATTTCCCCCATATTTCCCCATGTTAAAAAATAAGAATAATAATAATAATAATAAAAGGCTCAAATACTATAGTGGGTGCTAATTTCTTTGTCAAATAACAAGTTGTGTTTAATAATTTAATATAATTTAGATAATAAACTATTAAACTCTATAAATACATTATGAGATAAAAATAACAAAAAATTATTTTATAATTTGATCTATAAAATATAAATTTTTAGATAAAATATAAATTTTTAGATAAAAAATAAATCTCTTAAAATTAAAAGTTCTCTTTATCTAAAGGTTCTGGTTTTATAACTTGATAAAGTTCAATTATAAAACAAGGAGACTCAAAAAATAAAATACCCTTAATTTAATCTAGTTCTACACTTCTACTTATTCATATTTAGCACTTTTTCTTTTCCGAAATATACTAGAAAACATTTTCCCTCCATCAATTTTACAGTGGTACCAAAGAAAAGCCCCATGCGACAGCAAGCGAGTTTAGAAGTTTTGTACTAGAGCGCGTGAGGGGAGTCTATCCTCGGACTCTCAGAAAACGTCAAAAACCGTGGGGAGCGTGGAAAAGCAGTGTCTAGCAACGTATAGATCATCAACATGTGTTTGTTAGGGCATTTGTATTAATTTATTTCGGGGGAGATTGTCCTTTTTTCCTTTTTATATTTTTCATTTTTTAGGAAATGATATATGGAGATTGGCCATTTTTCTTTGTATGATGAGTTTTGTACCGTTTGCTTTGCAAAATGCTAATTAATTTGCTATGAAGATTTGAACATGAATTTCTTAGTGTGAACTCAAAATTACTAAGTGACATTGATTAATTCAACAACCAACCAACCAAATTTAAGTTATTCTTTTAAATTGATATTAAAACATTGAACATTAAAATTTAGTTTGATCTGATTCATAAGAAAGTCGGAGTCTATTTGATTTACAATAAAATTTGAAAGAGTCGGATTTCTAGTTACAAATAACAGTGTAGAGTGAAAATGATAGAAGGTTTATTATTAATTATAATCAATAACTTTTATTTATTTACTTGTTTGTTTATTTTTTTGTATATCTGATAATGACAAATTATACGAAAAAAAATATCTCTTTCATTTTCCTAAATCTCTTTTCACCCAATTCAAAGATTAAACTTGAAATTTTTAATTTGAAATCTCAAATTCATAATTATTAAACTCCTTAAGATTTACTCTCTTTTTTTTTTCTTTTTTTCTTTTTTATAATGAAAAGCTTCCGCCTACGATTTCAAGAGTTATTGATAAGGAATAGGATGGTCAAGTAAGAATACATTTTTAAATTTATAGATTTATTTTATTTCTTTTTTTTTTTCAAAAAAAAAAACATGTTAACATTGATGCAAATTATTGGAGACCTAGATAACTTTCAATCATATGGTGAGCATTTTTTTTTTATAAGCATGGTGCATAATTTATTGATAATGATGTAGGTCAAGACTTACTTACAAACATGTAAATTTACATATGATTGTTGAATTTTTTTTTTTGGCAACAACTTATGTCGATTAATAATAATTTCTTTTTGGTAAAAATAAAAAATTATGAGTTTGAGTCACATAACATGTAAGTAGAAATGGGTTAAGAGATGGTGATATCTAAATGTGCCTTTTTCAAGTTAATTTTAAATTTATGTTCTCTTTACATATTGAGATATTTAATGGTAAAAAAAATAATGGAAATTGCAAATCAAGAAAGTTTTAATTTTTATTGATGTTTAGCTTCCACATACATTGAGATTAATCTCGTCTGAACAGTTTTAAGGGCGCTTCCTCACTTGAACCTCATACATTTAGAGAAATTAATTTCATTAAGTATTGGTTTCAAAACTTGAATCTTAAACTTAATTTATAAAATAATATTTATTTAATAATAGATTTAACTCTTGAGGTTGATTGCTCTTGTTTTGTTATTTGCTTAGTAACAAAATAAGTAATAGTTTTTTTCTTTCCTACTCCATTTTTTAAAAAACAAATTTAGTCTTTTTTCATGAATTTAAAATTTTTAAACAATTAGAAATCGGAAACTAGATATATAAGTAGAGAATATTCACTGTTTTGGCCACATATATATATATATATAGCGTGTGTGCGCGCATATAATTAAGAAGATAGGCATTCAATGTTCATGATGTTATATTATAAATACACGAGAGATTGTACTTCTCTCTGGAGTATATATTGTTGCGTAGAAACAGCAAGATGTGTTCCCGACATCAAAGGGCCAGTGACACGTCCCTTGCTCCTTGGGTGGGTGACACTGTTGGGATCTAGTGTTGGAATCGCAGCTCTCTTTCACACAATACCCCTTAACCAAAAAAAAAAAAAAAGATAAAAAATAATTTAACTAATCTGTAAAAATGGGCCAACAAGTAAAGGCACAGAAGCGCTCTTCATCCTTTATTTTGAGGGGCAAAAACTAACATTTAACTCCTCACTTTATAAAATTGGTAGGTTTTAACCCCTTACCTTATAATATGACAGTTTTAGCTATTTATTTTACAAAGTTAATAAGTTTTAACCCCTCACCTTATAAAGTTGGTAGATTTTAACCATTTACCTTATATTATGATATTTTTAACCCTTCACTGATACAAATTAAAGAAAATAGCTCTTACCTAACATCAGATTATAACGTTCTGTTAGTTCTATTATTTGATTGTTAACATCCGTCAGTATTCCGCTATAAAAAATATGAAATTTAAATTCAATTTTATTTATTAGTTCCATTAACGGAATGCTAACGGATACCAACAGTCAACTAACATAACTAATAATTAACTAACAGAACTGACAGTCAATTAATAGAACTCAGAACTAACAATTAACTAATAGAACTGACAGTCAGCTAACAGAACTAATAAAATATTATAACCTCATAACCTAATATTAAATAAGGGTTATTTTCTTTAATTCGTACAAATAAGGGATTAAAAGTGTTATAATATAAGGTAAGGGGTTAAAACCTACCAATTTTGTAAGGTGAGAGATTAAAATCTACCAACTTTATAAAGTAAAGAGCTAAAAGTATTATATCATAAGGTTATAGACTAAAATCTACTAATTTTGTAAGGTGAGAGGGTCAATGTTGGTTTTAGCCCATTTTCAGTGGGTGTTGATTCTTCTCTCATGATCAAATCATGAATTGGCGAATCATACTGAATGCTTGCATAGGGGAACAATATTGATTCCGTTGCACCAAAGTAATTAATTTTAAAGTTAGGGTTCGTACATAAATGTTTGCATTAAAAAAAGCACGTGATCCTGATTTTTGGTATCCAGCGGGTGAAGATAATACATGTTTCGCAATATTGCCAATTATGGACCCCAATGCTTAAATCAATTTATGAGTGTCATTTTATTTGTCGGGGATATTTGGTTTAAATTCTGTGGGCAACATTTTAAATTTCTTAAAATGCATTAGTGGGTGCGCCTTTATAATAATGATAATGTTAATTACAATGTTATATAAGATTTTAAGTTTATAATCATAATTTATTAAATAAGTATGGTGTATTATTGAATAAGTAAATATATATAATGTTATGAGTAAATTTTTAAATAAAAAAATAATTATATAAAGATATATTATGTTAAATTTAGGTTTAGTTTGAGAATATTTCTTAGTAAATTAATTATAAAACAATATATTATGTTAAATTTAGGTTTAGTTTGAGAATGCTTCTCAATATTTTATTTTTTTATATCTTTTTATTATTTTAAAAATACATAAAATATTAATTAAAACAAATTTTAAATATATTGTATATATTCTCGAAACGTTAAAAGATAAAAAATTTTACAATTACAATAATATTATAATTACATCAATTTTATTATAACAATATAATTTCAAAATATGTGCTAAAAACTAACTCCCACATATCTTACCATATAAAAAATAAATAGAATTAAAATAAAACAAAAGGCAATTATGGTCCCTGGATATCATAAAACAAAATGGGATGCAGTTGTTGGCCAATATATATTCCTGTTCAAATGCAGGCTGGCTTTCTTTGTTGTTACCAAGAAAAGTACAGGGATTTGAAACTAATTATATAAAGAACCAGAAAGAACAGAATTAAAGGGCATCGATCGTCTCAAGATAATATAAATTTAGATGCATTCACACTGCTTGGCCAAAATAATAAAAGGAGTGTTCACACTGGAAACGGAAATAAAAAACTGGACAGTTCAACTCAATTTTGATCCACTTTTTTTTTTTTTTAATAATTTTTGTTTTTGGATAATGACATGCGTGGGTAATTAATAATATATGAGCTGTACTCGAGAAAAAAAATAATTAAATAATATATAAATTATTAAAAAATTATATATAACATGCAAAAATTATCCTTTAAATAATTTTTTTTATAAAAAATGCTCTCTCTCTCTCTCTCTCTCTCTCTCTCTTTTTCTTTTTGTTTTTTTGGCTTATGAATACAAAATAACAATTCATCTCATATTTAAGTCATGCCTCCAACTTAAGAAGAAATTGTGATTATGTAGCCCAGTTGTCACCTGGCCAAGTAATGATTTCTTAATTTTTTTTAAAGGTTTAAATCACATACTAAATAATATATAAATAAATTGAGTAAATAAATAAAAGAATTACTTTTTATTGTACCACTAAAAATAAAAGATATGACATTATCAATTAAAAAAATTTAAATACATAAATGTCAACATTAATTACTATTAAAAACATATTTGAAATTTTCATAATCACGTAGATCTTAACTGGTGTTGCGCTCATTGCACCCATCCATACATATCTCGATTTGTTGCAATAATTAATTAATTTTTTCAATGTAAAGCTATTAAAAGCAATTTTTTTTGGTGTAATTTTTTTAATAAGCTTATGTATTATTAATTCCATTTGTTTTATCAAAACCTTTATTACATATATTTGTTCATTTAAAAATATATAAAAATTATAAAAATAAATTGTACGGGTACCATTACATGGTGTGGCTGACAATGCCAGAGATCTGTTATAACTTTCACAAGACAAGTCAGTCAAGTTAAATGCTCTTATTATTGGGCAATATATTCCTCTCCTGAAAATGCCACAAATTAGAGGCCTTTCTTACAGATAACGAAGAAAAAAAGTAGTGATTTAAAAGTAAAAGGAAACCAATAGATAATATTTATAATTTAGATGCGTTCACACTGGAAACTGAAATGAGAAATATGGATAAAATATTGGTCAAACCATAGCCATAGTTTTCTCCAACTCCAACAGCAGATGTTATGTGGCCAAATGTTTCCCTTGTAATTTAAGTTCAAGTTCGAGTATTATAATTATAGTATTTAAAAAAAACTAATTTTTTAAATGTATTAAATTAATATAATGGGTGTGCTTTAAAATTGTTCATAAAAAAATTAAAATTGAGGTGCACAAAAATTAACCCTAAAACATTTTAATAATAAATGAATAAATAAATAAAAGACATAGGTTTCTCCCACGTCTCCTTCCCACTACCTCACTGCCAACAAAAAAAGTCCTAAATACATAACATGCAAGAGTTGAATTTTTATATGTATCTAACTATTCAGCCTTTCTTAATGGGAAAGCAATCTATCTAACCCAAATTAAAATAATATAAAGAGCCTGTTCGGATCCAATGCCTCCTTCTCCCCAAAATTGAAAGACTATGTATTACTAAGCTGAGCATGCACCTACTAATTGATATCCCATTTCTGGCAACCAAAAAACATAATGGAGTAAGTTAAAATCTTTTACAATTGCCCTAGCAATTCAAATATCTAAGATGATATAATGTATAAAAAGGATTTGTAGTAACTTTTTTTTAATGAAAATAAGTGATTTTGAATTCAAATTCGAATTATAACGACATATATGCATATAAGATAAGTACACAAAAATGGTATAATTACAATACCATATAATATTATAAGTTTATAATTATGACTTGCTATTATATAATTGATTATTTTTATTTAGAAGTTCACATGTAATATTATATGTATCTATTTATTTAATGTCAATCATAATTGTAAATTTGCAATCTTACGCGATATTATAATTATAATATTATTGTTAGGTAAAAAGAATAAGAGAGGGTTAAAAAAAAAAAGAATATGATTTTGGGATAAGTTTTTTGTACCATCTTCTGGGATAATATTTTTGTATCACCTTTTGAAACAATCTTTTTGTGCTACCTTTTGGGACAATCTTTTTGTAAGATGGTACCACCTTTTGGGACAATTTGATATGTTATTTAAACGATTGAATCTTTTCATTTATTTGGGACTTGTGATATTAAATGTATTTATTCATTTAATGACATGTAAAAATTGTATAAAAATGTGGTATAAAAAGATTATTCTTATGTCATTGCCTTAAAACAAAATTCCATTTTGTATATATATATATATATATATATATACATACATATAGGGAGCAATTAAGGAATGCCATTCACATCCTTGATATGGTTTTTCTTTGCGCACACATATAAAAATAACCCTTTCTAAACAAAGGAACCCCATTTCTATTTACATCATTTACACTTTTTTCCCCTGATTGGAGTCACATTGAAAGGAAAAAAAAAAAAATACTAATGAAAATATAGATTAGACCCAAGGGAGGAATGTCAACTTCGCCACATTATGGTAAGCACTTTATTGTATTTTTTGTTAAAAGATTGGTTATTCCTTAGTCAAATTATTATAAAAATAAAATAAAATTTCAAAAAATTATTTGACAAGTTAGGAATAGACTAACCTTAAGATAAGGGGTGGTTATGATCACTAATTTATTTGTTAAGGTCATCAAAATTGTATAAAAAAAATATTGATTTTGTTTGATTTGATTGTTAAGAATAATAATACTAATAGAACAACTAATTTTTATTACTTAATAAATTAAAATTTGTTTATAAATTGATATTTTTAAATATGATAACTATTTATTTAGAAAATATAAATATCAATCAAATTAAATATAATTTTAATAATTTAACAAAGAAATAAATAGTTATAACCATAGTTTTAACAAATAAATAAATAGTGATAATCATATGATCCACACCTTTTTAAGAGGGAATGCATTTCACTTCCACACTGGGCCTGGAGGGAGGGATGAGATGCCATTAAGGCATGGACTACCAATTGTGATTCATTTCCACTTAAATGGTCTAAAGGCCTATTGGGCTGTTTTACTTGGGCTGCTCTGTCTTCTCAAAATTTTTATTTTATATACCCTACCTACTTTATGAGGTGTGCGCATGAACGTTTCTTTTAGCAACGTGACCGCATGAGTGAGATTGGTTGGTGGAATGTTTTTCCCGTCTTTAAGAAAATTTGCTTAAGGATATTTTAATATTTTTTATATTTTAATATTATAGTAAAAATATAAAATTAATATGTTTAATTTTTACTTTTTTAAATACAACTTTCAATAATTAATATTTTCTGTTCTTGTTTTGAAAAAAAAAAAAAGAAGCCTTCCTTCTCTTTCTTAAGATAGGAATGTGAGGCGCATATAATAATTTTATTTAACAAATTTTTTAAGGTCTTATTCGTATTTTTTTTAAAAGTCTAAGGTTTTATTTGTATGTGCTATGATATGTTGTAAAATTAAAATTTTTATATCTTTTACAATATTAAAATATATAAAATATTAATTAAAAAGATTATGAAAGATTAAGATGTTTTGATACTTAAAATATTAAGATTTTATAAAATTATTTAAATATTTTTAATAAATAAAAATATAAGAAAGATTTATTAAAAATATTTAAATAATTTTATAAAAAATTTTAAACTTATTGATTTTTATTTTTTAAAATTAAAATTAATGAAAATATATAAAAAATTAATTAATAATTATAATTTATATTTTTAGATATAATGTCAAAAAAGTTTTGTATGAAATAATGAAGCCTGATTTTTTAAATATTAATTTTTTTACCAAATAATAAAATTTTTATTACAAAATTTATTAACTTTTCATATAATAATTTTTATCTTCAATAAGAAGCCAATAATACGGTGTGTTTTCCATAGTTTAGAACATAAAAATTTTAAATATTAAATTTAAAAAAAAACAAGAAAAAGAACAACAACTAATAAAAAAACCAATTTTTTTAAATAAAAAAAAGGAACCAAGAAAAAAAAAAAAAAACCTTGGTAAAGGAAAAAAAACTTATATTAAATTATTGGACCACTAAACTTTTAAGCTATTATTTGAGGTAAAAATGAAAAAAAAAAAAAAAAGAAGAATTAGTGGCTCTAATCCTTTGAAAATTGATTTGGGTCCCAAAAGCGCGACAATTGTCCCAACTGCACTCAACGCCTGACCGTATAGAATCACTCACCCCATACTTCCCTGATTCCCTCTATTAAAACACGGAAACGCGTTTGCCGAAAGGAAATTACGCGGAAACTTCCTCAAGATATTATTTTATCCCAACGCACGTCGATCTTGATTATCATTCTCTCTACCACCCTTTTTCGATTCATTCCAACAAACCCTATTTCTCTTCCATCACACTCTACTACTTCCTCCTCTGTTGTTCCTTCACCGGAGATCTCCACCGTCGCCTCATACTGATAGATTTGTTTATGCATGACGATAGTGCTGCGCCGTTGGCTTCTTTTCAACTGTTTTAATGGCGATCGGTGCGCGTTATTCATATACTTCGGGTTTTGTTACGCAGAAAACCTTTCTTTTGTACGCTTCTTTTCCCGTCCCGATCTTGTAATGTTGATCTTGTGCATCTGGATTGGTATCAGGTTGACGGTTTTCATTTTCCGGAGTCTGCAGATTCTTAGCGGAGAAGAGTTGATCTGAATGGCTGAATTCTGGTATCAGGTCGACGGTTTTTCATTCTCAGGTATCTTCCGATCTCTAAGGTGGGGAAGAGTTGAGAAATTCAGAATGACGGAATTCTGGTATCAGGTCGAATAGTTATTCTTCCGATTTTAGGCTGAGAACTGAGAAGAGTTGAAATCTGAATGGCTGCACTCTTGTTTGTGACTTTTTCCGCCCGCTGGTAAGTGCTTTGGGATTTATGTTTATCAACTTCGATGTGTATGCAGTTTGCATATGAAATATAGTTTGCTTTGATGATCTCTCTATATAGTTTGCTAACTCTAGAGAATTTACTTCTTGTGTGTCTCCTGTTTGTTACATCGCCTTTTTGAGTTCCTGTTTCTCTAGTTAATTCTTTTCTGCAAAGAGTTTCCGTTACCAATGCTTGTTAGGTTTTTTTTTTGTGTGGACCATGGAATTGAGCCCCATAGACAATTAGTTTTAAAGGAAGAATGGCTATAAAGTATACCAGTTTTAATTTTTAATGCTTTGAAAAATTCAGAATTAGTTGCTGTAATCATTATGACTCATTACTTTACTTAGAGATCTGTAGTATAAATTAAATTCCATCACCTTTTAAAGTTGCATGTATCAAGCATGCCTTAAAGTTGGAGATTTATTGAGTCTCTTGGCATATATAGCTTTAGCTATTCCGAAATAAGTCTGGTTTTAAACTAGTTTAGTTCATTCATTTTCTTTTAGGTTTTGGAGTCAGTGTTGGTGAGAAAAGTTGGTGCTTGAAAGTTACCTGAACCATTAATCTAGTCTTTATCACATCAAGAGGAGTAGTAGTGCCTTTCTGAGTTCCTGTTTCTCTAGATAAGAACTAAGAACCAATGATGAAAATAAGGGCAAAGCATTCTAGATTTATATCATGGTTTAACTAAGAATGTAAATTTGGGGGGATTTTTAAACCCTTGCAGTCTGTTTTTGTTATTGTTGTGTAGCATTTAACAACCAATGTTCGTGAATCTTTTCTAGTGTTTTTTTTTTTGGTTTGGTGGGTTTAAGGTGAAACTTCTGTAAAAGAATCAAGTCAAACTAAGACAATTAATTTTGAATAGACAGAATAATTAAAATAAAGTCTTAATTATGATTGGAATTACATTAAAGCATGCTTCTTTCTTTAACAAATCGTGAATTTGAATCCTTTTATGTTGGTTTCAAATCCGTTGTGTTGCTAAAACTGTCTACCCATATGATTCAAATGTCTCTTCTTGATGAATCCTATTTGAAGTTGAGCTTTGTTCTTTGATTTGCACTAGTCCTTTTGACCCAAATTTTCTTCCAAATCAGCAAAAAAGCCAGGAATTTAGAGTCATGTAGTTGGACATTAATACATGATATGAGTTAAGATAGGAGTTGTTCACCCAAGTATCCATGATTTGCATGAGGTAACTGACAAGAATTTCTTACCTAAATAACCTTTTCTTGATCCTTTAGCTCAGTTAAAGTAACGATAGGCCAAATATGGATTCTGGCCCATTAGGACTTCCTGCAGGACTTACTAAGCCAATATTGAGCTCCATCTATACGAGGAAAATAGTGATACTAATATTAAGAATAAAGAAAATCTTTAATGAATTTATTTTCAAGTACTTTTCTTTTCACATTTTCAATTGCTTGTAGATTATGAAAAACAATAATCTTCCATTGTGATCAATCTTTGAGAAGGATGACAAACTGAGGAGAACAAACTTCCTAGACTGGTACAGAAAGAAGTGGTATGTGTTCTAGAGCAAGAGTTGCCCTAGAACCTCCAGAAAATGCTATATAGAATTTGCAAGCATTAGGAGGATGCTGTAGATGTGCAATGTCTTATGCTGGCATCCATGAATCTGGAGTTGCAAAAGCAGCATGAGTGTAAGGATGCACCTACTATTATCTTGTGTCTCTAGAAATTATTCCAGGAGTGAGACATGAAAGATATGAGATCCCTAAGCAGCTCTTCCAATGTGGATGGTGAGGGAGCAGCAATGTGTCCATGCCCAGGATGATTGGAAACATAGAGAGGTTGGGCTAACTAGGGTAATGAACCCTGAGTTGTTCATTCCTTCTGTCCCTGTATAACAGTTGTTCAAAATTTGTGTTGAATTTTTGCAAGTCTGTGACTGAATGCTTGGTATGTTGCACGCTGCTGAGCTGGATTTGAGGAAGTCCAAATATACTCCTGACTTGTTGGTCAATCAGACAAAAGGGAAGGTCAAAGCTATGGCCAGGTCCAAGGCCAAGCCTAAGACAACTAAGAAGCCCAACAAGGCACCTAAAGCAACAAAGGGTGTTGCTATGTCAGGAATATGCTTGCATTGCAGAAACAATAATTTCCAGAATTCCAGTATGTGGTGGTCATAACATATATGAGCTTTTTATTGCATGTTTATTGCATTCTTAGACAAACGTTGGAACAGGTACAATCACATATTAGTTAAGCTTGTTTTGGGATACTAGCCTAAGTTTTATGTAATCAAAGGTATTATGTCCTTGTGATTTGGTGTGCATTATGAGGGTATGAATTGAACGTGGTTCTTAAGATTCATGAAAGGAAAATCAGTTATAGAGTAATCACCTGACTTCCTTGGTTTTTAAATTTATAGCATAGCCTTGCAGGTGTATGTCAAGTTGGTATGTTGAACTGAGTAAACCTTAAGTTTAGCAAAAGAGATAGTTGTAAAGTGTACTTACCTGATTTCCAAGGTGTAGAATATACAGTACGGCCTTTTTAGCTGCACTTCTGACGTTCAAGGTTGCTGGTTCTTGAGACATACAGCTATTTTATGTAAGTGACCAAGTCCTCATCCTTCACTCAACACCTGTTCTTTGCCGGACTTGACCAGTTGGGTATACACTTGCTAATCGTTGGAAATTAAATGCACTTTATACAGATACTTATATAGATTTCTTGGACATCTACAGTTCTGCAGATTATATCACCATGTTAAGCTTTTAGAATCTGTCTGGGCAGTATGGTTAGAATATCCTGCCCCCAATTATCACGTCCCTGTAGCCATTCTTCTGGTTCGGAATTGAATGCCCAAGTAATGATTATATTTGGTATTATCTGTGCATGTGCTTGGATGTCTATCATTAGTTAACTAGCTATTTCATACTCCATGTCAATTTAAAATTTTCTTTTAAAAAACACAATTTTATATAGTAGAACAGCAAATGCTTTTTAGATATTTTGTTTTTTACATTATTGTACTTAAGTTTTGGTTCCTGAAAAAGGCATTGAGAAGTTACTTGTATTGTGTAGAATTAAGTTATTTAGTGTTTGTTTGTTCTTGTTAGAGGTTTAGAAATGGTTCTTTTTGGGTAGAGCTTTTGTGAAAGTGTTGAGTGAAGTTATTATACAAAATAATTATAAATAATTTTAGAAATTGATAAAATTACAAAACTTAATAGTTTATTCACAAAAGCTCTACCCTAGAAGATGAAATCAGCTTCTAAAATAGCTAGAACCACACTCTAGAAAACTATCGAAAACTATATAATGCTTGGCTTTTACTTCTGAAATATAGTTGTTCCACGAATGGAGCCAAATAGGACTTAGCATGTTTAAAATTTAAAATAATATTAAGTTATCAAGTTACTTCATTTTCTTAGAAAAATTATTGGCTGTTTTTCATGAATGCATTTTTGTACATAAAATCATTATTCATTTGATCTTTTTTTCTTCTTTCTCATAATATCAATTCCTTTCCTCCAACTAGATTCTGATGGCTAATTCTACTAGAAGAGATATGGTAGTACCAACCTGAGACCTTTGCATTTGAGAACACAAATGTGCAGCAGAAGTGTGCACACCAATTCAATTTTGTTGAACACAGGTTTGTAGAACATGCAGGTAACATAAGACAAACATTCCTTTCCAGTTATTCCATAATCTACATAGAGTTGCTTGTTTCGTACTTTATTTTGTAGAAATTCTAAAATGCTCATTCAACATTTCATACCATATCTGATTGTCTTTTTGCTAAACACATTTAATATAGTAGCTGAAGTGGAAGATCACACTGGTGGCAGCTTTGCCTTTTAATTGTCCATCTGCCTGTTTCCCAATCATTTCACTAATGCAATTGTAATCTGTTCCAAGTTTGAAAAAGTTATCCTCAAGATTTTTCTTGAAATAATTCTTTCTTACTCTATCAATACTAATATTGTATCTTTTTAGAATAGTATTGAGGAGAAAATTTACCCCAAGTTCATTGATTTTTCTGGTGCATCATTCTGATGAGGTCCTGGCTGACTTAACTGGAGGTCTAGAGGTGCTTGCATATCAATACCATCGCTGAAATTGTAAGTTGAGTGGGAGCTTCTGTGACCTTCATTTGCGTTCCTTTGTCCGTACAACTGAGCCAAAAATTAGTATTTACATGTGGTGAGAGAAAAATATTTTACTTTATAGAATTGTAGATGAATTCCATTTGGCTTGTGTCTTGATGGCATTAGGTTTTTTAACTTAATCTACTGTTTAACTACCAAGGAAAGAAAAGAAGGTTACATCATTTCTTAGCCTAAGAAGAAGGTTAATTAAGAGATAGTAACATAAGAAGTTTGCAGAAACGAATAATAGTGCTAGAGGATACCTTATTTTGAAGTTCAGTATTTTCCTGGCGAATGGTGTCTACTGTTTTATGTAGTTCTAGGTTTTCTTGATGAATGAGATTTCCCTGCAATTGCACAAATTAGAGTTGCTCAATTAAAATTTGCTCTAAGGGGAAACCTGGATACAATGTAGAAAATATTCTAGGGAAAACCTTCTGATTTAGTTCTTGGATTTCATCAGTCAGAGCTTGCTCCTGCAGGGAATGGAAAAAGGAAAAAAGAAACAATACTAGATGAGTTTAGTTTATTTATTTTTATAGAGCAACACTCCCAATTTCAGAAGTTCACTTGCCTTCTTTGTACGGACACTTTTCAAACTCATCTCCAGCTGACTTTCCAGGTTCTGTAGATCGTTGACATTCAAACCAGATAGTTCTTCTCCCATCAGTTGTCTGCACATTTGTTAGGTCTTTTGATAAGTTGAATATATGGTTTAATAATACCATGGAAAAATTTGGCATGTTCTATAGGTTTATTATTTTTTAATATATAATTCTTTAGTTTTAACTTGCATGACTTCAAGTTGTGTAATTCAATTTTAGTTTCCCTTTCTAAGATGAGTTTGACTAATCAATCCAATGCACAAGATCTTAACTTTAACAATACCTGTGGCTCTCTTGCAAGTTCTGAAGTTGTTGTCTCAGGCGTGCTGCTTCTGATTGCCAAAACTACCACACATGAAATCCAATTTAAATAAATACAAATTCACAACATGTGAAACATTAAATAATTTTGTAGTATGTTAGCATATTTATTTTAGTGCAATAATATTATAATGCACATGGGTATGGCAACAAAAAAGGCATGCTCAAAAAAATAATAATATTTCACACAGATGTATTTCATATTTTCATATTAGATTTCATTTTGTGTACATTGCATGTCTGATTCTTTCAAATTCTGGAGCATTTACTGGTGGCTGTCTTGCTTCAATTTTTACATAAAATATATACTATATTGGTGTGTAATAGTTGAGTAATTTGTTGAGCATATTGTTTGTGTGCAATAGCAATCCACAGGAGGTTTGGTTTGGTGATTAAGATGGGAATGTTTGGCTCTAGCATAGTGTTACCTGCTTGTAGAAAAGATTTGGTTTTTTAAACATATTATTTGATTAAAATCATGAATAGTGAGGGGCTATATTTAATAATTGTCTCCGAGAATTATCTGTGTATCTCTTTGAGACACTATGAGGAGTTTTCTTGTGTTCTTCAATGGTGATGGTTACATGGATGACGGTTCTGTTACTGGAGGGGAATCTGAATTGTATACAATTTGGGAGGGAGGGATAGAGACTCTTAAGTTTGGTTGATAGATGCCAACTTATGTTGCCTTTTGCATTTTGTCTTTGTCAGAGCAGGTTATGTAGTGTGTCAATTCATTAGGAAATTTGGTGGAGGGTTCGAAGAATATAGATTAACTTTTCAAATTATAAGGTAGTTGAAAGTGGGCTTGGTTCAGTGACTCCTTGAAACAATTAATTCAATGTTTCTAAGCATTTCAAGTTATGATCTCTTGAAACTTGAGTTTTCATTTATGTTCTTCTATTCTATATAAACCAGATTGTAGATGGATAAGGTAGATATTAATTATTTGATTATTTGTGAAGCTTTAGTCTATTTTGTTTCAACTTGTGAAAGTATTCATTTTTAGCATCCAATTGTATTCTTATGATTTGGTATTAAAGCTTTTGTAATGCTGTTGGCTTTTATTCTCTTTTATTCTAATGGAATTAGTGTTGCAAAAATGCTCCACTGGCTTGCCCAGGCCCTAGTCAATGGAGTTTGGCATTTTTATTATTTTTAAATTTTTCTTGTTTTATTTTGGCATTTTTTTGCAAAAATGTAAAAATGTTTTATTTTTGAATTTTTTTGCAAAAATATGAAAACGCCTAGAGCTCCTCAGTGGTGCTTACGCACCACCTGGGCATTAGGTGGTGGCCCAAATTTCAGGCACTGCCCAGTGCCTTTTTCAACACTGAATGGAAGGAGTAGGAGGTAGAAGGAAGAAGAGGTAAAGGTGGATGTGGAAGAGGAATTTTGGTGATAGTAGAATTCCAAAGAAGAAAAGGTAGTTAAAATTCGAGCACTTCAGGAGCTGTGCTCGCGTTTTGAACATGTGGAAGCCAGGAATGAATCAGGTTTCAAGGGTGGCTATTCTATAGATGATTCATAGTAAGTGAATCTTTTTTTAGAAGGCATGTACAAAATCTTTTGCTGAAAGGTGGATAAGAACACCATTGAATGATTCATTCAATCTTAAAATTTGGCAAGATTGATTTGCTGCAGTTCCATGGTTGATTGCACCCAATGGGGTTTCTCTATTGACTTAGTGCTTTGGAAAGTTCTTTGAACATAAAGATGTTCATGAAAATAAAATGTTGAAGCTTTTTGCAACATTGTTTTGAGGCTATGCTTTGATATGGTTGATAAAGTGCAAGGGATGAGATTATGCAAAGGCAAGCCAAAGATCGCTTCTAGGGAGAACTCTTTCGAGAAGATGGGAATTCTTTGAATACAAAGATGGTCATCAAAATAAAAAGTTGAAGCTTTTTGCATTTAATATTTTTTAATGCAATTTAACTATTTGGAGCAAGGAAGCAAAGGTGTTAAGAGTATACTGAAGAATTTTTCAAGTTGATGGGTAGAAATAATTTCATGTACTAGGAGATCAGCTCATGGCAAGATAATGGGTTGAAGGTTGAATAACACATCTATCAATTGGCCTTGAAGGTTTTAGAAATGTTGGTTAGACAAGAAGCGAAGATGATTGATGTTTGGAGTCATTACAAATCAAAAGGTGAACCCTCCCGCAAATTTGTTTCTAATAAATGTGGAGGTAACAAAAGTGAAACCAATGCAACTTCTAGTTATAATAATAGAGGTAAATTTAGTTTTAAGTGTGGTTAACCTGCTTATTAATTGAATGGATGCCTAAAAAGTAGTGAACCATGCATTAACATTGTAATAATGACAAAGGAGATGAGCATTCAGTGGAGAATGATATCAAGCCAAAGTATGATGATGATAAGCTAGAGAGTGTGAGGAGATTGAACCAGTACATGGTGAGTGTTTGATGATACAAAGATTCTTGCATCACCTAAGCAAGGCTATAAGAAGGATTGATTTCAGAATAGTAATATTTTCAAAACAAGATTGGAGTCTGATGGAAAGGTATGTTCTCATCATTTATGGAACTAGTCTTGAGAAAAAAAAAATTTTCTGCAGGGATGGTGGGCAAACTCACTCTCAAAACTATTCTATATTCCCAATCATATTCTTTTTAATGGAGAAAGAAGGACAAAAAGATAAAGATTGATAAGAAATGTCTTGTTTCATAATGAAGTTTGGTGTGATGTAGTTCCTAAAGAGCTATCAAGTGGTCTTCACTGGAAAAGTTTATGTTTTGGTGGCATTGATAAATGCATTACAAATGTCCTCGATATTACTTTTTCAAGAGAACAACTGCCAATCTTTTTGGATCTATCAATTTAGCCTATATTTGCTACAATTACAAAGCTTTATAGGCCTTACTCTGATTTTAAAATGTGGTTTGTGCTCTGTGGATAAGAGAGGATCTGATGTGTACTTTTCATTTTGAAATTGTTATACTTGAGAAAACTGTCACTTTTGGAGATGTTTAGCAAGGTTTTCTATTGTCCAACTTGTTTGATATCATATCAGGATAGGTAAGACTCATGGAACAACTTGTTTTGCTGAGATCTACATTTTGATATTTGACTATTCTACTTAACCACTGACGTTAGCTAAAATCTAAATACTGAATGAAGGGATTTTAGTTCACTATGTTTTTTCAATTTTTCATTATGCATGTAAGATTCTGTAATAACAAGCTCTTTGCCATACAACATTGGACTCTGAAAATGGTGTTCAATCAATGATATGACATGGAATACAGTTCTGACAATATTTACCTTGACTTCAGATTCAGGATTCAGTAGTTGTTGATCCTCTTTCAGTTTGTTGTAGCGTTCAATAATAGTTTTCATACTGAAATAAAAAGAAATAGGACTTAAAACATTAGTTTATAACTTTCTATATACCAAAACATATCATAAAAGAAAAATTAGGAGATGAATATTAAAATTTTTGAATTATCTAATTCAATAGTTAAGAGTGCTGTGGTTAATAAGGCGAGATCATACCCAAGATTAGACTGTTCTTTGACAAAATCACCATCGTGGAACTATATTACGTGTACCGTACTTTCTTTCTTTTTAGTTTACTATGCGCTAAAATTTTTCACAGAAGTCTCACACGATTTCATTATTAATTTGGGGTTTTGGCTGCTCTGTAACTGTCATATACTTGCCAATTTTATTTTCACGGAAGATCCTATGTACTGATTCAAACATCTTTTGGTGATATTTATGTTCCAGTTCTTTCTTCTCACCTATCATCACCCTTTGAGTCACGTTTCCCTGCAAATTCCCTCTACTTCTTCCTCTATCTTTTCCCTTTACCTCTTGCTTTCTCATCCCTTTTTCTTTCCTCTTGTTCTGTAAATTCCCCACTCCTTGCTCTCACCTTCTCCCTCTCTCTTCCTTTCACCCATTCCATAGTCTCTGATTTTCGTTTACTTGCCTCTCTTATGAATTGGGAGATGGAGAAAAAAAACAGAAGGGAAAAGGAGAAATTCTCTCTGGGTTTCAAATAGTCTGGGATGTTCAGTTCTGGCCGTATCGACAAAGTTGGTGTTGGACTTGAAGGGTAGATGGAAAGATGACAACTAACATTGGAGTGTCTGACCAAAAGAGTAGCTCAATAAATTGCTAACTCTTTCAGTTGTGGTTGCTCTCCTATGTGTCCCACCTTTATGTAGCTTTATACCATTTTTAATGTGTATTATGAATGGTTGTAAATCCTTATCTGTGTGATTAAACTTTCTTTATCTATGTAGATGCCGTATGGCTTGCGGATGTTAAATAAAATTTTATTTATGTTAAATAAAACTCCATTGCAGTGATAAATAATCCATTGGAGTTTCCTATTGAGATTCTATTGATTGATATGTGATATAACAATAAATAAATGTAGAACTGATAAAAAGAACACATATTTTAGCATATTAATGTACTTATCATTACACAAAAAATAAATACACGCAAAACAGAGTTATAGATTTGACGAAAATCCTTTTCCTCCCCTCTTGCCATTCACTTTCCTTGATCTAAACATACACACAAAAACATCAAGCCGCTGACAGCAAGACGAGAATCCTGACGGACACACCCAACCTGCACCTCCATAGAGATCACCAAACCCTCATTGTCAGCAAGAGGGACCATATCGAGCACCGGAGGCGCAGCCCAAAACTTCAGAAAACCTAGAGGCAAGACAGGATAGGCCTTCCCCATTTGTGAAGACTAGAATGTGCTAGAGTATTGTAGAAGACAGGTCTAATCAAACTAGCTAAAATGAAAACATAAGGGAAGAAATTGAAAGGAATAAAATGAGAAAAAGGAAGAGGTAAGCGAATGGAGCGACAATAGGTAGGATAAGGGGAGGAAGGGAAGGGATTGCAGAGCACACGGTTAGGATTTTACGAATGTTTGTAGGTTTTGGTTTCTCTAGATGAAGATAAATCTACTTAGAGCTT